TTTATCCCTGAGCTACACCTCTAGCTCACTTGGTTTTCATTTAGTTCATGGCTAGTTTATGAACAGATGCTCTTAGATTTGAAGAGTGTGTTTTTTGATGACCCCAAAGCTCTGTATTTTAGGCAACTTGATTGTTTTTGAAAAATACTTTCTGTCCTTGTTATCTCTTTGTTTCTGGACATTTGGCAAAGATACATTAAAGTCTTCATGATTGTGGGGCTCTGTGTGTGTGTGTGTGTGTGTGTGTGTGTGTGTGTGTGTGTACACAACAGGAGTACAAAATTTGAACCCACACAAAGTCATGGAGGTTCCTACCTCTAATGCTACGTCTCTTAATTTGAGTCAGGGTTTCATGTAATCAAGTATGCACAGGCCTGACATCTGTCCCCAGCACAGATCAATAAATCAAAGTGCTAAACAGAACTGAAGGTATATCTTAGCTGTAGAGTACTTATCAGCACCACAGGCTCCTTGGTCTGACCTGCAGCAGTGAGGGCGAGGACCTCACTAAGCATAGAAGTACATGTGACCCAGCATTTAACATAGAGATACATACCCAAGAGAAATGAAACTGATATCCAGCACATCTTGTGGGAATATTCTAGTGTAGTTTGTAATGTAGCTCAAGGGTCAGTGAGATGTATATGATATTAGTACAGTGGACTAATAGCCACAGAGAGGGCTGAAATGCTCAGACATGTTTAGATACGGGTGTCCTTGAAAGAAATCATTCTCTTTATGAGACATTTTTAGAAAATTGTGCTTGCTTGAGCCTGGTGAGGTAGAAGACAAAGAATGAGGATGAGTATGAGGGGGGCGGTAGGAGATCTTGCTGAAATATTTTTAAATGTATTGTAATAGAGTTGTATAAATCTGGACATACTAGAAACAGTTAAGCTGTATAGTACATTTGAATGTCAGTGGCAAACCATATTCTAGTAACATTCTCCTTTTGTTTTTAGGTTTTTCTTTTTTTTTCTTATTTCATTTATTTTTTGTTTAAATTCTAATAGCTTGCACAAGACCTTCCAGACTGGTCAGCATTGCAGCAGACCGCACTACAATACATTAGGGTAGGATACAAAGTGTACATGTATGAAACTGTCAGAACAAAAGATTAAAAATTCAGATGTACTAAACATTTTAAACTTTGTGTGACCTAATATAATTACTCTTTTTTTTGAAAAGCATACCTGCCTCTGCCTTAAAATAATTAAGACTATAAACAGAATGGTTATTTATCAAGGAAAAGTTTCTGATCCCAGATTCTTCTGAGCTGTCTTTCATGTCAGATTCCTGTGGGTAACTAGAAAATTTGCAAAGTAGTGAACCAAATCATAAGGCTCAAAATGCTGAGGGTGTGTACTCGGGGCTGCTTTTGTTTCCGTTTGGTCTTTTTTGAGCCAGTGTCTCACTGTAGCCCAGGCTGGCCTGCATACTCTTGCCCAGCCCTCTGGGCTGGTAGTGTGTGTCCAGTTTTGATGAAGCTTGTGGTCTATGTTGAAGAACTTGTCTTTATCCCATTTCTGACGGGATCTTTAGAACCCTGGGATTTTCTGTCGTCTTTGTTATGCTGATGAAGACATTAAGTTAGATCCCTGGCTTCAGAATGAGGGCTGACCCACATCCCAGTGGTTTAGGGATGTTGAACTCAGTTGACTGTCAGGAAAGGAAGAAGGGGGTTGTAAATTGAGTCCCTAGAGCAGTCTAGGATTCAGTTTAGTGTCACTAAAAGATGAGACTCAGTACAAACTAAGCTGTATCTTAGTGGCTCCGAGGGTATGAGCAGATGTGCTGGAGGCTTGCCCTGACCACAGCACCTGAGAGAAACCGTACAACTCTCCTGAGTTCTGTTGGGTTTTTCTAGTGAGGGATGGAAGCTGAGGATAAGGAGCAAAATATTTCCAAGACCCAGCTGGGACCCAGCTTTCTGGTGGAGCATCTAAGGGCTGTATTCACCTGGTAGCAGGACTACATTTTACAGTTAGAGCTGAATCAAAGAGACAGAATGGGATGGGACCTGTTTGTGAGACGGGGTAAACCTTGGCCGGATTTCTTGCTTCTTAATTGTATAGATAACACATGAACCAGACCTCAAGTAAGGTTTTTTTTTGTTGTTTTTTTTTTGTTTGTTTGTTTTTTTTAGAGTAGGTGCAGTTGATTAGGTTAGACTTGACCCTTATGTTTGCTGTAAACCCCACTGCAATTCCATTCCACACGTTTCTAGTTTGTTGCTGGAGTTTTGTTTCTATCTTATCAACTCTCAGCAGCTAATGTCTCCTGAGTTGGAACCTGTGAGTTATCCTGCCTGCCGTATATGAGCCTTCACACATGCACGCAATAGGAAATGGGAATGTGAAAACAAACCTTGACTTCTGAGTTTTCCTTCTGTAAAATGAATACTTAGGTTGGTACTACTGTTAGCTTCTTTTTGGTGCTGAGAGTGGGAATGAAAGTAGGACACTAGATTAGAGCCAGGTCGAACTAGCAAGACCCATGTTTCCAGCTGTCCTGGCGCACCGGCTCCAGCTGGAGCTCTATCCTAGCTCTGTCTCCTCATCAGAAATGAAGAAAACCATTTTGAAAATTGGTCGTCTTAAGAACAGAAATAGAGTAGCAAGCCGGGCGGTGGTGGCGCACGCCTTTAATCCCAGCACTCGGGAGGCAGAGGCAGGCGGATCTCTGTGAGTTCGAGACCAGCCTGGTCTACAAGAGCTAGTTCCAGGACAGGCTCCAAAACCACGGAGAAACCCTGTCTCGAAAAACCAAAAAAAAAAAAAAAAGAAAGAAAGAAAGAAAGAAAGAAAAAAAAAGAACAGAAATAGAAGTCTGGGCTGGTAGTGAAGTAGTGCCCACTGAAGAAGGGATTTCTGGTTGTACATACATGCTGATGTAGTGATCCCGGAGTAGAATCAGAAGGTAGCACTGGGGCTGCTGGACAGTGAGAGTGGCTTTTGCAGAGAATGCTGTTCAGTAATAAACTTCAGCCCTCCCTTTTCTTTCTTTCTGGCAGGGTCCTGCTATGTAACCTTAGTTGTCCTAGAACTCACTTTGTAGTCCAGGCTGGCTGAAATGGAGATTCTTTGACAACTTCCTGTTCCAGCCTCCATTGTGCTGACATCACAGGTGTGACTTACCATGTCTGTCTGTGATATCGTGATATTTCTTCAGACTTTTTTTTTTTTAATGTGTGTTTTGTCTACATGCATGCAAGTGCACCACAAGCTTGCTCCTGATGCTCTTTAAAGGCAAAAGAGGCATTGTACTTCCTAGAACTGAAGTTAAGGATAGATGTGAACCATCAGTGTAAGTGTGGTGACTTGAACCTAGTTCCTTTACAAAAGCAACATGCTCTTAACTGCTGAGCTATCTCTCTAGCCCCATTTCTTCAGATTTTTTTTTTCTTGAGACAGGGTTTCTCTGTGGCTTTGAAGCCTGTCCTAGAACCAGCTCATGTAGACCAGGCTGGCCTCAAACTCACAGAGATCCACCTGCCTCTGCCTCCCAAGTGCTGGGATTAAAGGGGTGTGCACCACCACCCGGCTTCTTCAGAATTTTTAAGTTCATGTTAGTTTCTTTTGGTTGTTGTTGCTATTTTGTGGGTTTTTGTTTTGTTTGTTGGTTGTTTTTTTTTTTTTTCTTTTTTTGGTTTTATGAGACAGGATTTCTCTGTGTAACAATCCTGGCTGTCCTGGAGCTTGCTTTGTAGACCAGACTGGCTTCAAACTCACAGAGATCCTCCTGCCTCTGCCTCTTGAGTGCTAGAACTAAAGGCGTATGCCACTGCCACCTGGTGATGCTTTGTGTTTTGGAGGGGTATTTTGCTGTGAGTTCTAGGCTACTGTCCACTTGCAGTCCTGCCTCAGTCCCTTGGGTGCTGGGATTACAGGTGTGCACCACCGTATTCAACACCGTTAGTTTCTGCCCATGGATAATGACTAAAGTCTCTTGAAGGATTTGAAGTCAGTAAGTGTTTACCAGTCATGTGATAGAATGGTTGTTTATTGTTTGCTGCTGTGGTACGTAGGCCAAGCAGACAGCACACTGCAAAGGCTCCACACGATGTAGAGCTTTGGATGTTCTAGGTAGAACCACCTCGTTGTTGAGTTCAGCCCATTTGCAGACTTAACTACAAGTCCTGGGGCAAGTTACAACTTCGTTTTTATTTTCTGCCATTTTTTTTCCTCCAGAGATGAAGAGGTGGTTACATTGAGAAAGTATCAGGACTCTTGTTGAGTAGTCTTAGATGATGTTTATAAGAGAGGTTAGCTTTAGTTTTTAAGTGCTAGGTTTGTGTTTTGGCAAATAAGCGCTAGAAGTAACTCATTGCCTGGTATCTGGTACAGGGTACTGTGGGGGATGTGTTCAGTCAGGGTCTCGTGTATCCTGGGTCAGCTCTAACTCTGTTGCCAAGGATGACCTTGAGTTACCAGCAGGAGCCACCACACCCAGTATGTAGTGCTGGGGAAGGAACCCAGTCTGCAGACTGAGCTACATCCCCAGCACAAATTTGTATATATATATTTTATTAATTCAAGTCCTCATGTGAAGCTTTAACACTTATCTTTTATTGTATAATGATTTTTGGATTGTTCATGTTCATGAGTTTCATTTATACTGTTTTCCCTGGAAATTAACACGTTTGCAGATGTGAGACCTTTTGGGATGAATTTAAGCGCTTTTCTCCCGTCTTCGCGAGCGAGCTCTTCTGGCAGCAGTGTGCTGTTTGTCAGGATGCGACACTCCTGGTCATATGTGAGCACCTAGGACTGGCTGGTGCTCGCTCCACTCTGCGACCTCTTCTGGAGGCAGTGACTGTTTCTTTTCTCACTGTAGCACATGACTCACCCCATGAGATTGGTTTTTTGTTTTTTTTTTTTGGTTTTGTTTTTCTTCTTCCTTTTCTTTTTTCTTTTTCTACAGCAGGACCGAAGTGGGTGGTGGGAAGCGATGCTGCCCGAAGGTGATCTCTGTCTCTCTTCTTTCTGTCCACTCACTCTGTGTCTGGTAACTGGGAGGAAGGGTAGGATGCCGTCTAAATTAACAGTCCAGCCAATGTTAGACTGTTAGACAGTCAGCATTGCTTAGACTATTTCCCTTTGAAGTGGATTTCTGGCCTGCAGTAAAGAAAGTTTATCTGGCTTTTGGCATAATCTGTTTTGGGATCTTGTTCTTTGAGAATTGAAGAAAGTTGTGTATCAACTTGTGGGGTGTGGATGAATAAGTATGTTCAGATTTTCATTATTATGAAATTTATAAGCCCTTTGAATTTGTTCCTGTGGGAGTCCTCTTAGGAGGACTTAGATATATTAAGATGGGAGTAAAGCGGGTAAGATGTCAGTTCGGTAGAGTTGAGTATCCTTTAGTTTCTCCTTGCATCATCCATTACTTTTAAAAACACTTAAATATTAATAACTTACTTCAACTATATTCTGATATATAATTTTGAAGATAGTCATTTCTAATATTAGAACTTTGAACGTAGCTGATGAGTGAAAAAAATACTTATTTGTTTTTGGTGTTCCCAAAACAAATCATTGGCTTGGGATAGACCTAAGTGTTTTCCAGTTATAGGGGTGGGACTGAGTTTGGGTATTGAAATGTATCTGTCATATGGTGCTTTGTGCCTAGCTGCAGAGCTATGCCCTGGGTGCAGTGCTTGTTTCTGGTCTGGTCCTCTTCTCTGCATGTTTGCATGAGCCCTTCTACTTAACCACTGTTTTCAAACTTTATTGAATTTCATCTTTATGATTTTTTTTTCCTTCTCTGCACATTTCTTGGTTATTCTTTAAGTTAACTCACCCTTTAAAATGTTAACATAAAGCCAAGTGTGGTGGCACACACCTTTAATCCCAGCACTCAACAGGTGAGTCTCTGAGTTTCAGGCCAGCCTTTTCTCTCCAAAAAGCTACAAAACACCCCCCCCCCCAACAAACTACCACCAACAGAACCATAACAACTGTATTATACATAAAGTATCTGAAGTACAGGTATAGAGGAGGGGTTTTTTTGTTTTTGTTTTTTAACTTGCCACTTAAACATCTGAGTATGTCGGGGGAGGCTGTCCCACCTAAAGGCATCTTAGTTTTGAGGGCATGAAATTCTTTTTGAGAAGCACTCCCCCATGTGCTGGACTTTTAAAGCTCTTGGTTTTTTGTTTTTTTTTTTTTTCTTTTTTCTTTTTTTTTTTTTTGAGGGGGGTGGTGGTGTTTCTCTAGCTGTCCTAGACCAGGCTGACCTTGAACTCGAGAGATCCGCCTGCTTCTGTTTCCCTAATGCTGGGATTAAAGGTGTGTGCTTCCACCACTAGGCTAAAGTTCTAACTTTGAACCAGAGAATGAGTATTGAAAACTTCTTTGCTGGAAGGACATGATGAGAGGAGGGCTCATGGGGTTAGAGGCAGCTGCTTGCCAGAGCTCCCCTTGCTTAGGCAACTTCTGTACCCTCCATATGAGGATACTTGGCTGCGTGCATGGCAAAGCATGGGCTCCCACCCCTGCATTGAACAGTTGGTTTGCTCGAGCCCGTGTGAGTCTCTGTGTACACCCCATCTCACCGGTGTTTGTCTCTCCTACAGGTCTGATCTTGCTCTTCTACCTAGTTTTCTATGGGTTCTTGGCTGCACTCTTCACATTCACAATGTGGGCCATGCTCCAGACACTGAATGATGAGATTCCGAAATACCGAGACCAGATTACTAGTCCAGGTAATGGTGTTGACATTATCATAGATTTTAAACATCACAGCATATGATTAAACCTTGGTTCAGGAATGTGAACTTAGTAAGTATGAACTTCGTACTTACAGTCACTTACTGGTCAGTTTTGAATCCTTTGACGGGAATAAGCAGAAATGAATGTTTTAGTGAAGTGAGTTGGAATCTTATGAAGAGTTGAGAAGGTGTACAGCACCTTCACACTGCCTTCATTATGGAGGAAGCACATGTTTTGGCTCTGGCTTGAGTTATACTATTAGTCTGATAAAATAGATGCCCTGTGGTTTAATTGGTTGGTATGAGAGTGGTAAAAAAGATGACATCATTAGAGAGTAAAGGCAATGTGTTCTTTATATGCCTAGTTCTCTGTCTTTTAAAAATCTGTTATGCTAAAGAATATATTTTTAGCAAAAACCCTCTTACCTGAAACATTAGTTATGTAAACTCCATTTTCTTCACCTGATGTTATTCTTTTGAAACAGCTTTTGAATGCTAGTTCTGCCTCAGGAGTTGGCCTCAAGGAACTGGCAGTGTTTATGTGACAATACTGGAAATTAAACTGTACCCCCACCCCCGCCACAAAGGCTAAGCAAGTTCTCTAGCACCAAGTTAGATCCCTAGCCTAGTCCTGGCTTTTTCGGCCGAGTAAATCAATATTTATTCAGAAAAGTGAAAAAGAACTCCATAAGAGAAGTTCTGAGGGAGTAAAAACCTGGGCTTGATGACATTTTAAGAGGAAAAGTAGTGCATGGAATTCCCCAAGTGTAACAAGTTTTCTAGAACAGGAACACGCCTGTCTCTATAGAGCAGTAGAATCCAGGTAGCAAGGAGAATGAGTGGGCCCAGCATGTGGGGAAAGTGGGAAGTTGCTCCGTAGAACATTTGATTTGTCAGCCACTTTTGATGTGTCTTCCAGGGACCACTTGGCAATGTCTGGAGTCACTGTTAGTTACTGGAACTGGAGTGGTAGTTGCCAGTAGAAGCCAAGGATGCTGCTGAGCAGGACAGCCCCTCCTTCCCAACAGAGTTATCCCACTCAAACTCATGCTGAGGCATTCTAGTCCATATTTTTCCCACTTTGAGGAGTTCTGACCTTTATTACCAGAGAATCCACACCAACTTCCACAGCCATTTTTTTGTTCTAGTTTTTTGTTTACAACTAATATACCTTTTGTCCTCTGCCTACACTAATTTAAATTTCATTTTCTTTCTAAGTTATATATGACTGTGTTATTATCAGCCATAATCTAATCTAACCTCAGAAATGCTAAACTGTTTGTCATTGTACAAACCATCTAAATAGTAAAGTGTGTTCAAAACTGAGTTCTAAGTTGGGTGGTGCCAGCAAATGCCTCTTAACCCAGCACATGGGAGGCAGAGGCAGGTGGATCTCTGTGAGTTCATGGCCAGCCTGGTTTACAGAGCAAGTTCCAGGATAGGCTCCAAAGCTGTACACAGAAAACCTGTCTCTCCCCCGCCCCCCACAAAAACAGAGTTCTGTAATATTATTCATTGTATTGTAGTTTTACAGTATAAATAAGTAAATATATAAACAAGTGTGTATTTAGTACAAAGTTTTTAGATATGAGAAATGTTTGTATTAAAGTTGGAAGCCAGATTATTCTTTGTAGACAAGTATGTTTGCCCTCTCTTTGCTCTATATGCATGGCTATCAACTCCTGATGAAATTACTACTGGTTTCCAAATTTGGTATGTAAGAAACATACTTGAATGCTTATTGAAGGAAAAGAGTATTTACAGGGTTCCAAATGGAAACTCTTTAGCTGAAAAGAGTAGACTGTCTTTAATATGTTTTCATAGTTGTATTTTGAATGATAAAGTGCTTAGACTGAGCAGGTGGGCACCTGCTGGTGGCTTATACTTACGTTCTTAGTTTCTGGTATGCTCAAGAGTTTCGGTTTTGTTGTTTAATCTGTAACAGCAAGCAGCAAAAAAACCTAAAATAGTATTTGATAAAAAACCTGGGTTTAGAAAGTTCAAAGTAAAAGCAAGGGAGAATGCTCAGTGGTAAGAGAACTTGCTATGTAAACATGAGTTCAGATTCCTAACATTCAGTAAAAGCCAAGCATTGCCACTTGTACCAGTAACTCCAGTGAGGAAGGTGAATGCAGGAAGGCCACAGGCTGACTGAGTAGCCAGCTTAGCAGAAAAAAATACGAATTCCAAATTCACTGAGAAACGACCGGCTCAAGAATAAGGTGGAAGCTGATGAGAATAGGGGCACATGATAGTGTGCTCTGGAATGCATGTGTGCGTGCTCTCCATCCATCCATCCCTCACCCATGCGCACACAATTCAGAGTAAAACAGGATTTTGTGTGTGTGTTTCTTTGGTGGTCCCCCCCCCCCCCCCCCGCTGTAACTAGCTCTGTAGACCAGACTGGTCTTTGAACTCACAGAGCCCCACCTGCCACTCTCTCCCAAGTGCTTGGATTAAAGGCAACACAGCACCTGGCAAACACAGTATGTTTTAAAGGAAGGAGTGATGATTATAATTAACTGAAAATAATAAAATTTAGGGACTGTTTCTAATTAATTTGTCTAACTAGTTTTAAAGATTTGAGTTCTTTTAGATGTTTTTCATAATTTGATCCAAATAGAGAGTTGTTGATAATTGTAACTTATCTGTGGACACACAGCCCTTCGGGAATAAAAGTAAGGAAAGGTAGTTTCTTACTGTTAATAACCCTCTCTGTCTCTTTTTTAGGACTCATGGTTTTTCCAAAACCAGTGACTGCCTTGGAATATACATATGACATGTCTGAGCCAAGTACTTATGGAAAGTTCACTGCAGACCTGAAGAGGTTCCTAGAGCGTAAGTGTGACCTAGAAGAGGGGAGAGCTGTAGTTCCTGCAGAGCCCAGTGCCACATGGAATTGCCTGGAGAAGCAGCATTTTTAGTCTGTTTTCCAATTTTGTTCTCCCTGTTTCAAACACAGACAGCTGGGAGGATCTGCAAGTAAACTCACTGTCAGCTGTAAGAATGAAGGCAAATCTGTGTCCTGTAAACAGTGCCTCTGAGAGTCAGAGTCTCCTGTGGTGCTGGCATGCTGGGCAAGCGCCCCCCACTACTGGCACCGCAGCCTGTTGTGGGCTCCTTTGTGTCAGAGTGACTTTGTTAGAGTCACCAGTACATGATTCTCTCTAATAAGCGTTGTAGCCAACGTCTTTATTGTAGCTGGCTTAACCAAATTCCTATGGATATAATAACAGTCAAATGAGGAAATAGTAAGAACTTTGGTTTACTTGACCATCTTATCCCTTCTCAGCCACACAGTACACCACAGTTGTTCCCTAGTTGCCAAAGTCATGGAGAAGCTTTCCCAGCACCACTGTCTGTCTTGCTAGACTGTTAGCTTTCTCCCCTGTGCTGTGCTGGTGGCTCTGCTCTGGCTGGTGGTTTCACTGATCACAGCTTCGTTCCTCTAGCATTCTTCCCCATCTAGTTTTTGTTTGTTTTTTTGAGACAGGGTTTCTCTGTGTAGCCTGTCCTGGAACTAGCTCTGTAGACGAGACTGGCCTCAAACAAAGATCTGCCTGCCTCTGCCTCTGGAATGCTGGGCATCCCCCAACTCCCACCCCCAGCTGGATTGTGGGTTTTGAAGGCTGGGCTGAGATGCCTGGTTGACACTAAACCCTTGAAGGATGAGGGAGCCAGAGAACTGTCTAAAGTCACGTTCATCGGGAGGAAGAGTGGCTGGATACAGCAAGCCAGGAAGTAGTAGGAGATGGACATTGAGTCTTAAAGGAGGCCCGTGTTTTGAAGGTACTTAGAGGCCTGTGGTATTCTCTGACTCCTATAATTGACCAGGATGGGAGATTTAAGAAGTGAGTATACATGGATTGATCTCATGTTTGAAGAATGAAGACTTTTGAAACCAGACTGCAGAATGGATCTTTTTGGTTTTGGTTTTTTGTTTGTTGAAGATTTTAAGATTTATAAAGTATACAGTATTCTTTCTGCATATATGCCTACACACCAGATCTCATTACGGAGTTTTCTCATGTGGTTACTGGGAATTGAACTCAGGACCTCTGGAAGAGCAACCAGTGCTCTTAAACTGAGCCATGTCTCCAGCCCTGTTTTCTGTATCTTTACTAGTACAATTTTTCTTCCTGAGGTAGAATCTAGCCCGCACTGGCCTTGAACACATATGGCCCTCTTGCCTTAATACCAAGTCTGGGCTTATAATTTCCTATCTCAAATTAACATTGAGATAACATTAAATTTTGAGATTAAAATTTGAGATAAAATTAAAATGCTTTTTTGGATTTCATTTTCAAAACCATTTTGCTGGGAGGTGATGAGGCTTTTCAGTTGAGCCTTCAGTGACCTGAACCATTTCATACTCAGCTGAGTGTAGGTTCTCCAGTGTGACAGCTCTGTGTTGTATCTTATGTTTCTCTCATTTTGTTTATACTTCAAAAACTCTCCAGAGCTTACTGTACCTTTTAATCCCCTTGGAGTTTTGTTTTTATTTTGGATTTTTATTACTTTTTTTTTAAAATTAGGAATATATTTGTTTGTTGACCAAAGGACATCTTGTAGGAGCAGCATTCTCTCTTATGTAAATTCCGGGGATTGGATTCAGGGTCATCAGGCTATAGCAGAAGCTGCTTTATGTTCTGAGTCATCTTACCTAGTACACTGGTTTTGTTTTTAAATATTCACCTGTCGTTGGTTTTTTAGGAATTTCCTTCCCAATGTCCAAAAGACAAATATATGGTTTAGAAGTAAAGGGTCTCTTTTTTTCCCTTCTGATAGATTCTAAATTGAAAGTTTTATTTTGTTAAAATAAACTTTTTTTTAACATTCTTATTTCAAGCTTTCCTCAGGTGTACAGGACTCTGGTTACTCTGAAATTGTAATTGTCTATGTTCCCATCATGCCCTCACACTCCCAGCTCCTTGCATTTAATTTTGTGTAGAAGTGGAAGTCTGCTTATAACTATTCTAAACAGCAGCCTTTGCTCCAGAGGACGGACGCCCTTGGGGAAATGTGTGGAGAGTAATGAGTAGAGCTTTCTCAGACAGTCCCTGTCATTCTTTGCTTTGAACTAAATGCATGTGATTGGGTCGCAGCTCAGAGATAGATGACATGTTTAGCACAATGAAGCCTGGAGTTCAGTCTCCACCACCCTTCTCAGAGACAGATGCCCTTGTGTTGTAGCTTGCTTTCTGTTGCTGTGATGACCACCATCAAAACCAAGTCAGGGAGAGCAGGGTGTGTTTCAGCTCACCAACTTCTAGTTCATTGTTGAGGGAAGTTAGTCAGGACAGGAGGTGAAGCAGAGACCATGGAGCTGCCCACTGGCTTTTTTTTTTTTTTTTAAATACAGCCCCCGTCCACTGCTCAGGGATGGCACTGTGGACAGTGGGCTGGGCCCTTCTACATCAATTAACAGTTAAGAATATTCCTCAGCTGGGTGCTAGTGGCACATGCCTTTAAACCCAGCACTCGGGAGGCAGAGAGGCAAGCAGATCTCTGTGAGTTCAAGGCCAGCCTGGTCTGCAGAGTGAGTTCCATCCAGCACATGCTCCAAAGCTACAGAGAAACCCTATCTCGAAAAACCAAAAAAAAAAAAAAAAAAGAAAATTTGTCAGACTCATTAAGCTAGTTTGATGGCGGCTGTTCTTCAGTTGTGTGGAGATGACAGTCTGGATTAGCCATCACTGTTAATAACCTTCTTATCCACAAAGTATCAAAAACAAAACAAAATCCCCATTACATTTCCTTCTGAAAGAGTTCCCTTTGAAATTTCTGTTTGTGTTGTATTGGATGGCCTTTTGTGGTTCCAGTTGTATACACATGCCAGTAGCTGTCACTAGGGTACTTCAACAGTGTATCCTAATTCTGAATGGCTTTCACTGGACCATCTTTCTGGTTCCTAAACATTGTACTTCTTTGGTTTAAATGTACCTAGTTACCCCTGTCGTCCCCATGCGCAGCACCTTTCTCAGCTGGCATCTTACCTGTGCTGCATCGGGTCTGTTTCACGTCCTGCATGGATCTGTTCTGCCCAGCGTAAATACTGACATAAATGCAGTCATACCTGTGCCCACTCTGCCTGGTATAAAATCTTTTAATGGAACATCATGATCCTTTTGGCAACCCTTCTGCCTCAGTACTTCACAGTTTTTACAAAATTTCTATGGTCCAGCTTCTCCCCCCCTGCTTTCAGGTCAGTGGCGTCCCCTTGCCGTAAACTGTTAGAGTGCCGTTTCTTTCCATCGTTCTGCGGTGCTGAATATACTGTTTCCCCCCATGACATTGTAGGCCCCGGGGGGCAGTAGCAACACCTTTGCACATCCTTGCCATTGTAGCTGTTGCTAGTGCCAGGCATAGTGGTGAAACAGCTCTGTTATTTAGCCCGGGCACTCTTGGAAGCCAGAAGCTTTAGGGCATTGGCTAACTGTTACCAGGCAACGGGACAAGCTTAGCCTCTACTGAGCGCTCGCTATTGTTACCTGGTAATTCACATTGCTGCTGTTTGTTGTCTTTGAACAACGTTGGTTTGAGGAATAGTTTGATTTGTTTCTGGCTGTGTTTGGTATCTCTTCTTGGCTGATCTGGCACACACGTTTCCTTTTTAGCATATTCTGTAGAAGAACAGAAGAATCTCACAAACTGTCCCGATGGAGAAGTTTTTGAACAGAATGGTCCAGTTTATCAAGCATGTCAGTTTCCAGTTTCCTTGCTTCAAGATTGCAGTGGTGTGAATGATGCTGATTTTGGCTATTCCAAAGGCCAGCCTTGTATTCTTGTGAAAATGAACAGAGTACGTACTTCTTTTACCTCCACTGCAGCTCGTTTCTAGCAGTCACATGTACACGGGGTGCAGCTGTGAAGCTGATAGCTGCTTTTTAGGCTTCTCTGTCTGAGTTCATGCCTTAGTAAGTGTCATCTTACTGGAATAATTCACTGAAAAGGCTAGCAGTACTAGTTAATGCTTTAGGGGAAATGAATATGGCCAAGGTTCATAGTTTAATTGTGGATTTTATGTATTTTTGTAAATAGTACTAAAGCTTATAGTGGTATGTATAATTAAATAGTGAGAATATAAATAAACCATATACTAATGAGCACAATACAGTGTTGTAGTTATAGCCAGTGCTATTGGGATGTTTTAACAAGACTTAACTAAGGCCATAACAGTAAGCCAGAAGGAATGTGGAACTTGATCTGTGCTGTAGGTAAGGAAATACATTCATTTTATGAGGATGTCTTCAGTAACACTGGCCTGCAGCATCTGTCCTTACTGTATTTGCTATATTGCTGAAAATCTGTTCAGATGACCACCTTCTGAGTTTATATTCTTAGAAATGGCCTTTGCATGATGGGACTCATGCTCGCTTTAAAGGCTGGCTTTGCAGCTCACAGGACAGCTTGGGATCCAGCTGGCAGCATTTCCCAAGTGCTTCCAGAGCTATGAGCAGAGGACAGGCGCTGCTGTCCATGCCTTTCTGCAGGCTTCCACGGCGTGACGTTTGGAGGCCTCTTTACGTCTTGAAAACCTTTGAATTTGAATTCAGAATGCAAAACAACAACAAAACCTTAGAAGATAGAGCTGGTGATAAAGTCACTTGCCACCAACCTGAACTGAGTTAGGCTTTTTATTACCCATGTGGAAGAAGAGAACCAAATCATGGAATTTGTCCTTGGTCTTCTACATATATCCCCTACACACACACACACACACACACACACACACGAATAAATGAAAAAAATTATTTTATTTATTTATTTATTTATTTATTTATTTATTTATTTGGTTTTTTCGAGACAGGGTTTCGCTGTGGCTTTGGAGCCTGTCCTGGAACTAGCTCTGTAGACCAGGCTGGTCTCGAACTCACAGAGATCCGCCTGCCTCTGTCTCCCGAGTGCTGGGATTAAAGGCGTGCGCCACCATCGCCCGGCGAAAAAAATAATTTTTAAGTGGATGGATGACTACAGTTCTAAAAGATCCAAAGGCTGGGATTACAACTCAGGTTTAGTGTTTACCTAGTATGATCAAGGCCCTGGCTTTGGTCTTAATCACCACTAAAGCTTACTGTGGAGGAGAGGGATTCTTCTCAATATGTGCCATTAGGAGAAGGGATAGTTTGAACATATTTCATAGTGAATATTGTATTGTAAGTGAGTGTGGTAGTGCATATCTGTGATCTCAGCATTTGGGAGGTGGAGACAGGAGTATCCTTAATGCTAGCCTAGGCTATAAGCAAAATCCTTTCTCAAAACAAGTAAACAGAATAGTTTGTTATATTCTGCTCCTGTAATTTAAAGGTTTGTTGTTTTAAATGTGGCAAGTACATGACTGCATTGCTTTAGTACAGTCCTTAACTACATTGGAAGGTTGGTTTTTATGTTGTAAAACACAGGTTAGTATAGCTGAGTTGAATATACAGAGTAGTGCTAATCTCCGTTGCTCTGCCCTGACCCCCAGCAACAGAAGAGGAGGTTCCATTGCATTTATGTGTGTTGACTATGTTCTTAACCTTAGATAATTGAATTAATACCACTGGGAGTTCCACGGATTCTCTGCGTGCCAAAGGTTAGTATTTCAGTTACTAATGTTTTCATGTTTCTTTTTCTTTTCCCTTTCCTTTCTTGTTTATTATTTTGTTATTGTTATTATTATTATTATTCCCTTTGAGACAGGGTTTCTCTGTGTTTCCATGACTGACCTTGAACTCAGATCTGCCTGCCTCTGCTTCCTGAGTGCTTAAGGGTGTGTGCTACCACCACTCAGCTTTCATGTTTCTCAAATACTTAAAAATAAGCATGGCCAGACTTTTTAGGGTGACCCTGTGTTTGCTAATACACTATTTTGTTTGTTTTTTGGTTTTGCAAGACAGGGTTTCTCTGTAGCTTTGGAGCCTATCCTGGAACTAGCTCTTGTTGACCAGACTGGCCTCGAACTCACAGAGATCCGCCTGCCTCTGCCTCCTGAGTGCTGGGATTAAAGGCGTGCGCCACCACCGCCCAGCCATCTAATATACTATTTAAAAGGACAATTTCTACTTGTTTGTTCTGTCCGTATTTGTTCACATACACTGCATTTCATCGATCTTAGGATGTGTTTTCTAGTTTAGTAATCAAGTTGGCATTACAACCCCAGGGTTCCTGTTCTGTATCAGGATTTTTTTTTCAAGTCTTAAAAATTATCAGTGTCACCTGGTGATTAATGAAACCTGCTATTTTTCCTTAAGGTAGAGGTGCTCTTTTGCTTCTGTTCTGCATTTTTTTCTCCTTAGGAAAGTGTTGTGCACTTCATCCTGTAACTTGTTTTCTTTCCATGCTACAAATACAACTAAGACAAATGTATAAATGATGAGCAAAAAGTCTAAAGAAGCACATTTAAGCTTGAAATTTGTCACTGTGCTGATGTTAGTGTCCATCTCCAGCTGTATGCAGAATAAACTAAGATGTTGCATTGAACTTGCTCTTAACGTTCAGGAGAAAACATAATTTCTTAAGTCAGAGATGAATTTCTTACTTGGGCAGAAACTTTGCCGTGCAAACATCGTCATGCCCCAGAATCACTTGGGCTTGTTGGTCCCCAGTCCTATATGGGGAGAGTCCAGAATTTGTGCTCCTGAATCCCAGGTGCTGCTGCTGCTGTCCAGGCCTCACTGAGTGGCTGCTTTGGCGCTGCCCTTTGATGGTTAGCCAGTGTTTGGAGGGATTGAACAAAGCCTGTAGCTCCTTCTAGGTGAGTGCGGAGATTACAACCAGAGACAGGTCGCTTTACGTCTGCATGCCACACTCAGTTCTCCCAAGAATCTTAGAGAACTAGAATCTTAACTAGGCACAGTTTTACATGCCTGTAATGTCTGCACTCGAGAGGATGGGACGGAGAATTAAAAGTTTGAAACTAGCCTGAGCTACTTGTCTGTGCCTTAAGCATGGGTGCCTTGCCTTTAATATGAGCTCTTGGGAAACCAAGGCAGGCAAACCTCAGAGTTTGAGGCCTGGTCTGTATAGTGGGTTCTAGGCCTGCTAAGGCTACCTAGTAAAAACCCAGTATCCCCAAATTACACAAAACAATACAAAACCCTACCTTTGGGGGTGGGGAGGGCATAAGCCTGGTGTGGTGATGTACAGCTTTAATCCTGGCACTTGGGAGGTTAAGGCAGGTGGATCTCGGTGAGTTTGGGCCTACATAGTGAGTTGCAGGACAGTCAGGGCTACATAATGAGACCCTTTCTCAAAAAGGGGGTTGATTTCAAATAAAACTACATGCATGTCACATGTTAGCTGAAGGCTTTTTGTTATTTGATGTTTGGTGTGTGTGTGTGTGTGCGCGTGTGTGTGTGTGTGTGTGTGTGTGTGTGTGTGTGTACTTGTGCAATAGCAGGTGTGAGATTAGAGCTTTATCCTCTGAACTATCTCATCTTCCCAGTAACTGAACTTTTCTCGATAAATTCTTCTAAAACTCTACTTACCATACACTTCTGCGCTCTTAGCATGAAAGTCACATTAGTGCCAAGTTTAAAGTAAATTAGTTAACATAGAAACATTCTCATCAGTATGACTTCTTCATGTAAAATGTTAAAAACAATTTCTTGGTTTTTCGAGATATGGTTTCTCTATGTAACAGCCCTGGCTGTCCTGGAACTTGTTTGTAGTCCAGACTGGCCTCGAACTCTCAGAGATCCGCCTCCCTCTGCTTCCTGAGTGCTGGGATTAAAGGCATGCGACCACTGTCTAGCATAAAATGTAAAATTTTAAGCACTAAGGATCAAACCGCTTACACCTGCGTGCTAAGCATACAGTGCTGGTGAGTGACAGCTGCCAGGAACACCCCTATTAGAAACACCCCGATGGGTGATCATTCTCAAATGTGGCCATTGTTTCTTAGTCACTATCTACTGGCTTTCCTATCGTTTTATCTAGGTTATTAGAACTTGGGTTTTCTTTTCTCTTTTTGCTATCTGTCTTGCTACATGATGATAAATGCTATAATCCAAGCTGGACTACATAGCCAGAGCCTGTCTCAAAAAAAAAAAAACAAAACAAAAGCCTACGGAACATCAATGGAAGGGAGGGTGTCATCTGTGTACCCAGTACTGTCCCTGCCTGCTGCTTATGAGTGTGGTGATTATGTTGTGCACGTTCACGCACACACATGGTCATGAAGTAAAGAAGCAGAGAGCAAGGCTGCTGTCTATGCAGTGAGTTTGTCGTTTCTTCTCTGTGCTCTCAGAAGTAGACACCACAGACTGGCCTGCAGATGGAGGGTAACGCTTGTGCTCAGCACACACGGGAGTCTGAGTTAGTTCATCCAGATCAAAAGCCGAGGTGTTGAGTGATGCTTGTGAGCTTGGGGCTGACTTGTTGGAGTTGTGTTTGTCTTAGTGCCAGGAACCCACTTAGGCGCCATGCATGGGAGATGTGTAGACACAGATACTCAGTGACTGACTGGTTGGAACTTAGTGCTTTTCTCTATTTATTCATAGGAACTATGAATTCTTTTTCTGTTTGTTGCATTGTGGTTTATCCTGATTACAGTTATGGTTCTGAACTGTAATGTAG